GTGTGCAGGCGGATGCTTTAACCACTGAAACACACCGGCCAGGGTGCTTAAACCCATGCTTGATGGGTTTAAAATCATCTACCTATGAGTGATAAGTTCCTTTTAGATTTAGGGCAATTTTTTTGTACAAAAGTGTCTACAATATAATCATAATTTTAAAAGACAGATTTAATAACACTTTACAACAAAAAATATAGAGTAACCAATAAGCATATGAAAATATGCACAACATCACTAGTGATCAGGAAAAATTTTTAAAGACTGATACTACTAAGTTGGCAAGAACAACAGGAACTTTCATATACTGCTGCTGGGAATGAAAAATGGTGCAACAACTTTGGAAAACACTTTAGAAGTTTCTTACAGTTAAATTATATACTACCATACAGCCAGTAAACCCACACCTAGGTATTTGTCCAAGAAAACTGAACATATGTGTGTGTGTGTGTTGTGTGCGCACGCATGTGCTTTTATATGCTCATAGAAGCATTATTTGTAATTCATAAATTTATAAAAACTAGTAACAACCCAAATGGCTATCAAATAATGAATGAACAGACAAAATACAATATATTCACACAATGGAATGCTACTCACAACAAAAAGGAACGAAGCAACACATGCTGTAACATGGATGAATCTCACAAACGTCGAGCTCAGTGAAAGAAGACAGACTCACTGCATGGTTCTCCGTACGTGACATTCCGAAATCAGAGGGGTGGTTATCAGTCACCAGGAGTTGGGGGAACAGGGCTGACTACAAATTGGCACAGAGCATTTGGGGGTCGGGGGTGGGTGGGTGCTAGAAATATCTTGAGTGTGATAGTGGTTACACAATTGTATACAATAGCTAAGACTTAGCAAAACATACACGAAGATGGGTGAATTTTATTAGACGCAAATTATGCCTTAATAAAGCTGTTCCAAACATTTTAAATATAGAGATAGATATGCATAAAGAATGACTCTATACTTACCTCTTATGGTAGGATCTGGGTGCTTCTTATTTTTGTTTCTTTGCTTATGTAAATTTTGTAAAATTTCCACAGTGATTCTAGTGCTTTTGTAGAGAGAGAGAGAGAAAAAACAACAACAATAAAATTCCATAAACATAAATAATTGGGTTATTCAACAAGTGTTCTATTATCGAGCCAATATTGTTTGCTTGTAAGGAACCCATTTGGTTCACGTCCTCATCTATCTTTCCTCAGTGGCACTTCTGAGGGGTGAGCTGAGGAAATGGATGCAAAACGGTACAGAGCTTAATAGCCATGCTTTGTCCGTCCAGTTCTCGGTTTGGCTCTCACCTGGATTTTTGGATGAATACACAGTAGACTAATGATTGGGGGGCTCTCACCCTACTTTGCCAACTCCACCCTCTATTCCAACCCAAATCAACTCGTGCGTCCTCCAGGCCCCAAGAGAAAGTCCTCAGCATAGGGCTGGGCAGGTTGTGGTTTGTGGGGTCCAGGCCTGGCCGCCCGCCTCCAGCTCGCGTTGGTCTGTTGAGTGTTGCGTGGCCTTGATGAAGTCAAGAGGCCATTCATCAGTGGAGACCCACGATGAGCAGGACCTCACACTGCCCATGGCAGGACAGGACCCGGAGTCCCTCCAAGAGCCCCTCTGGGGTGGGGGTACTCGGTGTCAACAGGTCTGGTCCTTTTCCTCCATCATACATCCAATTCATCTTCTGACTTTCCACCCCTGAGAGAGCAGTCACCTTAGGAGACCTGACCAGCCCGTAGGCGGGGGATGGCACGAACGGAGAAATCCTCTTTGCTTGCCCTTGCATACCTTGGGTAGCGGGACAAAGCCCCTATCAAGGCCCAGGTATTAGGACACAGGACTCTGCTGAGGGTAATAAAGCGATACTTATAAAAAGAGCTTCATAAAACATCATCCCGTAGGGAGAACATAATTTCCCAGCCACTTTAGTTAAGAAGGAAAGCCCAGCGTAGGAATCAGAGCAGCTGGGATGGGCATGGGGAGGGAGATAATCCTAGCTGCCCTAAGAGACTCTGCTCTGTCACCCATAAGTGCTAAGTTGGCAGAAATCCCAGTTCCCAACCTGGGGTCTCTGTCCTCAGGGTTCACACAGGCACTATTTTCAGGGACTTAAAACTCCAGCATCTTAAAACTCTACACATTATTCATAATAGTCAAAAGGTGGAAACCATCCAAGAGCCCATTGACAGATGACTGTGTTAGCAGTGGAGAAAATGGCGCCAGGCGCTAGCCTCGGTTCAGCAACCTCAGTGCTTGAGTTCTGGCTAAGGGAAGAATTCTGAGCCAAAACTCAAATCATAAGAGAAAGTTTATTTATAAAGTCACAGAGGGAGAAGAAGTGAGTGGTAGAAGAAATGGGCTCAGGAAAGAAGTTATAGCAAAAGAAGGCCTCCACGGATGGGTTGGCGCCAGGGGAGGGGGTCATTAGCCATGGCAGCTGGTCCTGCTGTCAGCCATGGCGTCGCTCCCACTCTGCCTGGTTTTGCTGCTTTCCTGGGCCTGGCGTGGAAACACACCTGAGGTCCAGATGTCATCTCCAGGGATCAATGCTTAAGGGAATGGCCGTGCAAGGGCTTGTACTTTTGCCTGTTGCTAGGCACCTGAGGCTCTACCCCCTGGTGGCCCTCCGCACCTGGCCCATTGTTCCTGCTCTCCTCATGCCTATCAAACTGCCTCCTCCAAGTGAATAAACAAAATGTGGTCTATGTGAGAAAGGGCTCACCTGTCTGAATTTCAAAGGACGAACTGGGAAACAGAAGCATGGCGAAAAGGAGATTTTTAATAACACTCGAGAGAAAGTAGGCGTCCATTGTACAGGTACACACGTGGGGCAGGGCCCATAGCCCATCTAGTTAGTCCCACCTCTGGTTCCTCATTGGCTGAGTAGTATGAGGTCACCTGTTTCCTCATACGTGGCCTAGGTCTTGCTGTCTCCCGTTGGGCCATTAAAAAATTGGCTGAGGCCTTTCTAGCTGACTCCACCTCCCCTGTCTAGCTGAGGCAGATGCCTGGGGGTTTCCACCTTGTTGGCCCAGTGTGCAGTTCTTTGTTCCTCTTCCCTCTTCCCTACATTCTTCCATCCCTCTCCACCCCTTCTACCCCAGGGACATTCAGTAAATTCCATCAGAAGCCGACCATGCTGGAGATGGATCACAGAGGTCCATTTCTTACAGTATATACAATAGAATATAGTCAGCCTTAAAAAGGAGCAAAGTACTGATCCATGCTACAACATGGGTAAAGCTTGAAGACATTATGCAAAGTGAAAGAGGTCAGTCACAAAGGACAAACAAGGACAAACACCATATGACTCCTTTTGGATGAGGTGCCTAGAATAGTCAAATTCCTGGAGACAGGAGTAGAGTGGTGGTGCCAGGGGCTGGGAGGAATGGGGAGCTGTTGAAATGGGTACAGAGTTGCAGTCGGGGATGCTTAAAAAAGTTCTGGAAACAGTGGTGATGGTTACACAACAATGTGAAGGCACTTAATGCCCCTGAACTGTACTCTTCAAAATCATGACAATGGTAAATTTTACGTTGTGTATATTTTGTAACCTACACAAAACTCCGAACACTCCACCGGTCTCATCCCCTTATAAAAGCACTAAATCACGCCTGTTACCATTCAGATCAAATCTCTAAATGGGCAGGCATGGCCTCTGATTGATTTTTTTTAAATAAATAAAAATAACAGCAAAAATATATCAGTTATGACCTAGTGTCGTTTTCCTGGCAGGCGCTATCTTTCAAAGCATGGCATCTTTGGGGGGAGATAAGACAAAGGGGCCTTGATGGAAAGGTTGGCTGGGTGCGCGTCCCGGTCCCCCCCCCCCCCCCCCCCCCCCCCG